GGAATCTGCCCCTGCACGCAGGGCGCCAGGGCGGTCGCGGGGACGTCTCCAGCGATCCAGTTTGCCCCGCCTCCCTTTTGTTTTCTATAGGCGCACTACAGCGCTGGGGAACACCATCTTTTAAACTGTCTCCCCAACATAATTTGTTCAACAGTTGTTGGACATTACTGGCCTTCGGCCCATCCCGCCACCGTGCCTGGGTTGGGGGTCGGAGTCCTCAGGGATGCTGCTTGGGTCTTTTCGGAGCGTTCTCGGGTGCCTCTTGGGGCCTCTTGGGGGCCCCTCTTAGGGGCCTCTTGAGGGTCTCTTGGGGTCTCTTGGGGTCCTTTTCGGGCCTCTTGGGGGCCTCTTGGGCCGTCCTGGGCCCCCTCTGTGCCGAGGGCTCGAAATGTCCGGTCGGGTTCCCCATGTGGTCCCCCCTTGGAGCAGTCTTCGAGGCCTCTTGTGCCGTCTTGGGCGCCTCTTGGGCCGTTTGGGGGCCCTCTGGGGGCCCCCAGGGCCGTCTTGGAGCGGCCTTGGGCGCCTCTAGGGCCGTCTGGGAGCATAAGGAAGCCGAAACGGCGGAAAGGCCACAAACCGTCAAGCATTTACGGACCATACATGATTTTGGCCTCTTGGGAGGTCTCTTGGAAGTCTCCTGGGGCGTCTTGGAGGCTTCTTGGACCGTCCTGGGGCCATGTTGAGGCGTATCGACGCTCTCTTGCACCATCCTGGGAGCCTCTGAGGGCTGTCTTGGCTCATCTTGGGGCCCTCTCGGGCCCGAGAAACTCATGCGGGGGGATGCGGGACACCCCCGACAAGCCGCGACACGCCCAGGAAAATTTTGCAATTTGGGGTCCGGGCCCCTTGCGACTCCTTAGGATCGAGGATTGAGGCTTAGAGTATTCGCGAAAAGATCTGAGGATACGCCTTCTCCGTGCCCAGATGCACGGTGGCGGATGTAACTATTGAAAAGATTTGCTCAGCTATACTGAAAGTTTGATCCTAACAGCCACCTTGTGGAATGATGATTTATTCTAAAGCGAGCTGAGGGACGTAAGGAGCGGACGCGGCCGTGCGCCCGCGGCCGCGTCGGCTCAAGCGGACGGCCGCCCAAATATGACTGCGCCCCACTGCGAGGCGCACAATCGCTATCGATACCAAAAGGATATTCCTATTTCTTGAGATGGCACGTCCTCTCCTGCTGGGACTATCGCTACTGCGGTACAACAGAGCTAGAGCTTGGCTTCGCCTAAGGCGAAGCTGCTGGCTGGGCCTCCCAGCCCCCTTCGAACTTGGTAGCGGAGTTGGCCTATGGTGGTCAGTTCCCGCTCTACTCCTCACCATCCACGGCATTATCTGGTGGATTACGGATGCGGTGGAACATCAGGGTGCTGTGGGCTTTCGCGGAGGAGTGTATTTAGATACGCAACATCGCAAGGACACTTGCAGCGATACCTCTGCCCAAACGGAGGTCTCTTTCTTACATCCTACATCCCTGCTCCTTTACACTCCTGAAGTCCACCCACCTACTCCAATTGGAAATGTCTTCGGGGATATTATGCATGGAAGCGTGCGATCTGATATGCTGCCGCCTCCAACCCCGCGCAGACTTACGACTGCCCAGCGGAAGTCCCAACCGACTACATCCGACTACGACCTACGAGGCCATTGGATTGGTGTTACTATCTTTGGGCTCACACGGGTCGCTATCGGGCGCGTGGTGGGAGATGTGCGTGGCGGAGGCGACGCGCGAACGACCGGCCCGCAGTGGGGCCCAGCCAGTCAAGCACCTTTTCGCGAACTCGTCCGCGAAGGACATGCTTGGATCAACGTGACCACAGGCAATTTGACGCCCTCCCAACAGGCTGCAGCTTTGCAGCGAGTCTCGGGAGGTCTCGCACGGACCATGGCCATGAGAGCCCCTCCAACAGTTATCAATTTTGGCGTCAACATAGGCGGCCGCCGCACCGACGGCGCCACCTACATGATGTTCCGCTTATGCACGAAGTTCGAGAATTTAGAAGAGGAGCGCCAACTCAACTCTCGCGCTGCTCACATTGACTTCCGAGTCCATGCGGGGGAACGCATCGACCGGACGTTGGCGCGTTTTGAGACTGCCCGCTACGAAGCTGAAACAGCCGGCTTCAACATCCAGATCTTCCAAATCCGAACAGCGATTCTATTCAGAGCTCTTGGAGTGGGGGCATCGCGTGCACAGCCACTCCTGCAGCCTCTACACATGCCGAGAGACCGACGACAATTTGACGCCCTACTTGAACGCGCGAGGTCAGATGCTCACATTGCTGAGAGAGCCCTCGCAACATTGGTGGCATCTTTAGTCGCGGTCACCGAGCCGAGACCTTCCGCGTGGAGGGTGACGCGGGGCAACCTGCCAACGACGTCTGGAGTGGCGCGGGAACTCAAAAGGCCCCGCCATGGCAGGCCGATAGACATGCCACTGCCCCGAGGAGGGGTCGCTTGCGGGGGCGCCCGCCTCAAGATGATCAGCCGCAAGAAGAACGTCCAGATGGCGGAATTCAGCGCCTTGTTGCTTGCGCGGAAGCAGGGCTGGCTCGTCAACGCGCGCCCCCAGAAACAATGCAGCATTCGCGGGGCCAGGGCTGGGCTGAGCATCAGATCCGCCGCCGGCATTCTCTTCGCAGTATTTGACGATGTGTAGACGGCAAGATCATTCGCTGGACATGGATTGGACTCGTTCAAACTCAAGAGAAAGATTGTCCACCAGCGCGACCACGAGAGAGCTGTCACCGAGGCAAGGAAGCTCTATAGAGGGGTTTGTTGCACGTGCCCGCATTTGCAGACCGCGGGCCCGGCTGCCCCGTGGGGCGCCCATCAAGGGGCCCGAACTTGAGGAGGGCGCCGTGGGTTCGGCCTCGTGGTGATGGTCGAGGTTGCTGCGCCGATCCAAATAAAACGCCAAATGAGAGGCGGTCGGCGGAAGCCGACTACGAGGAAGCACCAGACAGTGAGATATCCCAATCTATTCAGGTATGGGGCAACCTCGAACCTCTTCATGAGCTGAAGCAGTTCAATCGAGACTGGCGCTCAGTCAGCCAACGGAACAGCGCGACGGCCAAGCCAGAGGCTACTCGCCAGCGCGGCAGCGCGCAAGAAGCAATGGATCATTGCTCCCCTCGACAGCAACGTGGCCTTCCTGAAGGGGTTGACCCATCAGGAACTTGCTGGGGCCACTGGTGAAGAGGAACGCGCGGTGCGTTTTACTCCGCCGCCAGGGCCGGCCGCGGCGCTTCGAACCCCCCCAGGATTCGAACGCTACGACGAGTCAAAGCACTGCCTGCAGCGCTTGAAACCAGGCACGGGCGCCAACGACGCACCGCGGGCTTCCTCATCAAAGCTCAGAGGGGCCACCAGAGGTTCCGGTCTCCGACCCGCGTCCTACGACGAGGAGTTCGAGGCGAGCAACAACCTGCTCGCGGCCAAACACGCCGATGATATCAATATGGCCGGCACTGAGGACACCATTGACAAGCCTGTCAAGTGCGTAGAAGACACCTTTGGTAAGTGTAAACTCAACTGGCACACGTGCACCAACTGTGATGCGAGATGCACCAAGGGCGAGGACGGCACCGTCGCATTGGACCAAGGTGAATACATCGAACAACGCTCAGGCATCCAAGATGGTTGCAGACATGTTCGTCGGCCTCAGGGGCGCGCTGGTGCATGCGTTATCCACCCAAGTGCGGTTGATGGTGTATGTTGCATCTCTACAACGCGTCCAGGAACCGACCAACATCCAAGTGCGACGACTGAACGCGATCACCGGGAAGCCGCAGGCCTGCCCAGAGAAGATCGTCTACCAGGCGATGACTCCTACGGGCGAGGTCAACCCGCACAGCGAGTCAGGATGCCGACGCCTGAGTGGAGACGCCGACGACGACGCAACAGGCTATGGTATTCGCGGGGCAAACCTGCTACGACGTGGAAACACGTCATCCGGTAAACCTGTCGTTCGCTTGACCGATGCCCAGTGCAAGTCTCGCCGCTTGCAGGTCCGCTCGGGCTAGTCAGCAGAGACACCAGCAGCAACCCATACACTGGAGGACTGTTATACCACGATTGCGACTCTGCACGAGCTCCACGCAGGGCCGCTCACGCCCACTCAGCTGAAATATATACTTGAGTTGGGTGGCCTGAGCATCAAGGTCACTTTGACCATAGATGCTGAATATGATTTTAAGTCCATGTCAAGCAAAGTCTTGAAGAAGCCGGCTGCGTGTAACCTTTTAGGACACATCAGTTGGGTACGACAGATGATGGAGCGTGGAATCGCGCGCAGCATGCAGTAGTGCGACACCCGCGGCATGACCGCGGATGGTCACACCAGAGGGGGCTATCGACAAGTCATGGGAGGTATACAGACCTTCAATCATGACCTGAAGAGTCATGCTCCATACCGGGCCGGCCAGAGATCCAGTTCTGACGCCGCCCGAGGACTCTTAAGTGCAGAGCTGTACAAGCAAGGCAACTTGCGAGCGGGTCCACTTTCCTGCTGGCCCGCCCCTTTTTTTTCTGTCCTTGTGTATACTACTGCTGTGCCTGCTGTATAGGGGCGACGGGCTCACGCTTCGTCCCCCCCCCCCGACTCTAAAGCGAGCTGAGGGACGTAAGGGGCGGAAGCGAGCGTGCGCCCGCGGCCGCGTCGGCTCAAGCGGCCGGCCGCCCAAATATGATTGTGCCTCAGTGCGAGGCACACAATCGCTATCGAGACCAAAACTGTCTTCTTGCTTAAGATGGCACATCCTTTCTTGCTGGGACTATCGTTACTACGGTACAGCAGAGCTGGAGTTTGGCTTCGCCTAGTGCGCTGCTGGCTGGGCCTCCCAGCCCCCTTCAAACTGATTTGTGTTCGGTTCGCATGTGTAGGCAGTGCAACGTACGATCATGGGAGATGGGTCGCAGCGGCGCAGCTCCTGGGCCAAAGTGCATGTCGGATAGAGGCCACTCTCATATGGTGCCCCGCGCCCGTTCGACACGAGGCGGACTTCAAGTTGCTGTGGCAGGCCATAGAGGCTTGATTTATACTCGCATCATGTGCTGCTCTTTGACAAGTATATGTTTGCGTGGTTTCGATATAGGCGTAGCATGCGCATGCTGGGGGTGTTGGTGTTGTGCGCAACCGCTCATGACTCTTTATTGATCCCTTCGCTCACTCCGCCGTCCCATGTTGCACTTTTGTTGTCATACGTGGGTGTGCCCATGACGGGCGAGGAGGAGGATTGAGGACTCGATAGGAGAGGGGGAGGAGGAGGAGACATAAGGAGAACAACGGGGGAAATAAACAACTCCCGACAGCTTCTGGAGGCACTGTGAATCCAAACTGGGTCGCGGACAAGACGCCTCAGTGAAAGGCTTTTTGGGGTCTCTTGGAGGCCTCTCGAGAGCCTCATGGCTGCATTTTTTGATCCTGGGGCCTCTCAGGGGCTCCGTGTTCGGGGCCTGCTGGCGGTCTCGGGGGCCAACATTTAGGGGAAGGCTCGGTATGATTGTTTCGGTTCCCCCTCTTGGGGCCCTCATGGGAGCCTCTGGAGCTTGCTGGGGAGGCCAGTTGGACCGTCCTGGGGCCCTCGTGGGCCGTCTTGGAACCGTCCTGGGAGCCTCTTGGGCTGACTTGGGGCGATCTTGGGGGCCTCTTGGGCCGTCCTGGGCGGTCGGAAGCTTGAAAAGGCGGTAACGCCAAATGTTCACACAACCTAAGCAAACCACCGAAGTTTGCCTCTTTGGGCCCTCTCGAGGCCCTCTTTGTGCCTTCTTGGGGCGTCTTGGGCGCCCCTTTATGCCGTCTTGAGACCAACTTGGGGCATTTTGGAATGCTCGTAGCCTGAGGCCATGGGTTTCCCCCCTTTTTGCTGCCTTCTTGGGGTGCTCCTGGCGCGCTCCGGGGGCCCCCGAGGCCGCGCCCAGGAGTTCCGGCATCTCTGACTCCAATTTGCCCGGAGTCAGCTGGGACCTTGCTGGGGTACTGTTCGTCCGGGGACCCCCAGGGGTCGCCATGCGTGCGCGATCTAGAAACATTCCCAAATTCTGATCGGAGATCTTTCAGCATGCCTCCGGCCCGTTGGGCCATATGCCCTCTTCTCCCATTGCGATATGTATTGATTCATTGATTGCGATATACCGGCAGCCTCACAGTGATTAGGTGACGCACGCAGTCATTCACAATTTGTCTGATTGATCTTGATTTCATGGACAGTTGAACAATGATAGGCTGACGGTTGTAAGCGTTCGAAACGTTGCGCCACCTCGTCTAATGTAATCGTCATTGTAATGATGATTTATGATATTGGTCTGGTCGGGCACGGGTTCTCCGAGGGACCCATGAAAGCGTTTAGCCAGCGACGGACATGTGCTGGCGTGCATCATTGGGCTGGCACCTTTGTCGTGATCAAGCAAGGCCGACCGACAGCTGGTCTGTCGTTGTCGGCGCGGAGGGGGTCTGGTCATGCGGATACACTTCAAAGTGCATGTGTTGACTAGTGCGGTCCAAGGAGACCTTCGATCGACAGTCAAGCCTGGCGATACGCACGACAATCCAGTTTTGATGTATTTGTTCGGCCTTTCGTCCTTCTTTGGATTCCGCTGGGTTGCTTGTTGAACCAGTGCGAGCAACATGCGAGACCATTCTGCTCTAATGAGTGTGCAATTAGTTCGACGGGATTCCTTTCTTCGTCATTCTCGTACTTCTCGTCCCCCTTCATCCCCTCCGAATATTCCCAATATTCACTCTGTTCATATGAGCAGGACACGCGAAATTCGTGAGGGATGTTTAAATGTCTTTGTTGCTCGTGTCGGGGACTTTTCGGAACCCGAGGAGCACTCCAGCTTCAGCCAGCCGAAGGTTGATCCTGATTTTGCTGGCTTTCAGTCCCGAGGCCGCTCTCAAAGAAGGGTGCGAGTAGACCCAGAACGCTTCAGATTTCTCAGCGAATCATCCATCAATTGCGACGGGGACTCCCCAGGCGGAGGAGAGGATCCAGGGTCTCCAGCCCAGGCGCAGCTCCAGCCACTGCCGCCGTCGAGACAGAAGCGGAGCAAACTTTCGCCGACCTGCTCCTCGGCTGAGAGGAGCAGGCGGTTTGGTGGCCTCTTGTCCCTTGTCCCCCCCCCTGCTGCGCCTCCTCCCCCCTCCCTGTTCCGCTCGCCGTCACCCCCTTCCAAAGAGCCTGGATCGCCGCCAACCGCGCCGAGGCGCGCAAGAGGCGGCGCGCACGGGTGGCGCCGCGGGCTCAGGCGCCGCCGCGACGCATTATTTTCCCTTCCCTTGCCGCCGTCTCAAGGGTGAGGATGACGCAGGCGTTCGAGGCGGCCCTGCAGGAGGCGAGGGACCGGGCGGGTTCACTTTTCTGGCTGGCCTGGCCACTGCCCTCGTCCTCCTTTTTTTCTTCACGCGAGGGGAGTCCAGCGACTTCCAGATCGGGCGGGAGGCGAAAGTGGCACTACTGCGTCACCCCGCTCGAACCCGCAGCAAACTCGGGCACGGACTTGGACCCAAACCGACGTTGCGCGCGCGCCCATTCCGTCCCATTCCGCCTCCTACCCCCCGTCGTTGCCGCCGCCGCCGTCGTCGCCGCCGTTGGCGTCGCCTCCGGCGTCGTCATCTTCGCCCGCGAGGCCCAGCACGAGATGCCAGGACCATCGCGGCCGACTGGCATGGGCCGCGGGGCGCAGGCCGCGCCCAGGAGCAGCCGAGGGGAGGGGCCGCCGTCGCGCGCTGCGCTGGTAGCGGCTTCAGCGGCTGCCGCGCCCTTCTGGGGCCGGCGGAGCTTGTCACGTCCACGTCCGTCGCCTTCGAAACGAGGGGCCAATGGGCGATTGAGGAGGAGACAGGACGCCGGGCTGGAAAGGGGTGAGGGGAGAGAAAAGGGGGGGGCTGACAGAGGACCAGGGGGTACGAGTGAGACGGCGCCTCCCGTCCTCATCTTATCTATTTATCCTTTTCCTCCTGTTCGCTCCTCATCCACGCTCTTCTCCCTCCTCGTTTCGCCTGTTTTCGCCTCCTTCCCGCATGTCGCCTCTTCTCGCTTGCCGCCATATCCGCCCTCCTCCCCCCGCCTCTTCTGCCTCCTCCGCCTCTTCCTCTGTTGTTTCCTTGCCCTCTTCTTCCTTCCCCCTGTTGTTGAAGGAGGAGGGGGAGGGGCGCGGGTTGAGCGAGGCGGGTTGGAAGGAGGAGGAGGACGAGGAAGAGGAGGAGGAGGAGGAGGAGGAACATTAGGAGGAGGAGGGGGAGGAGGAGGAGGAGGAGGAGGAGGAGGAGGAGGAGGGGGAACAGGAACAGGAACAGGAACACGAAGGAGAGCAGGGGAAAGGGCAAGAAGGCTACAGCCGAATTCATTATCACGCCCCCGTTTCCTCCCTCTTCGCTCTTTCCTCCCAGGCCCCCCTGTTCTGTTTTTTTTTCCCTCTCTCATCTCTCCGCCTTTTCTCCCTGCTCCCTCCGTTCACGCCTGTTTGTGCTTTTGTTTCCCGCGCCTTCCACCTCGACGACCAATGGAAGTGCACATCTACGTATACGTATACGTAGCCACAATTCCTAATCTACTATTGCATAACAGTCAATATGAGATGTCGCGCGGATACTTACTTATACTCGCGTATACAGATCAGTCGACACATGAGTGTGACGATATTTGCACGGACCCGCTACACTTGGAAACGTTTCAAAACTCAGCCGTGAGCGTTGATGGAAGCGTCGTCCGTTGGACTGGAGGCCGGATGAAATATAGTGTGCGTGCATGACACGCACGTACGCCACTCGTTGTTGTTTGACCCTCAAGGGACCGTGTTCGCAAAGTCGCACAACAATATCATACATCACATTGGTGGCGGAGCGTGCTATACGGTCTACTTGTTTGCACCATGGTATTGTCTTTTGTTCGTTATCCAGCACGCGTCGTTTCCGTGACAGGGTCAAGGACGAAGGGCGGTTCTGACATATATGACGGTAGTGTGAAAAAACCGTTTCCATGATTGGAAATTCCGCACATATATGCGCATGGTTGTTGTTTCGGTATCAGTTGGTCCTGAAAAGGGAGAGCCGCAGCCACACGCTGTCACTGCAACCGTCAGTAAGGTGATAACAGGGTCTCACAGGCGACGCGCTCGATATAGCCATTGATCTACTGATGCCGACAATCCGTACTTCGTTGTTCCCCGTAGAGGTTCAGGAAGACAATCTCCTTTTCCAATAAGGCAATCTCTTTTTTCCAAATGCCCCCACTGAGCGGTGAGGCGATGGTCTCGTACATGTCACGCAAAAATGCGTTGGTGGAGACCTGTTTTCGAATTCGATCCGACTCGCATGATGAGTGACGACGTGCTTGGATCCTTTCTCTTGGACCATGCACGACTTCCGCCGCCGCATAATTTGATGGTTATGACATCAGCGGGTAATGCGATCGGCTTCGATAAGGTCAAGCACGTCCTGATCCTTCAGCAAGGCGGTCGTCTCCACATCCGTCACAGGGGCAACGGAGATCTGGGCAATAATTCAACCATCGCTCAGCGGGCGCCCCGAAACCCTAGCCGCGGCAACTGCAAGGCCAGGTATTTCAGGTCGCCACAGGCATGCCACGCTGCCGGCGACAGCTGGCATGAGCAGGAGGAGCAGTTCCCCGAGGAGCTAAGTCCCCATGGTTATTTGGCGTCCGGCTACACGCCTGAGCACGGATGGGGCGACGAGTCTTGGTGGGCAGACACCCGGGCAGATGATCAGACCTGTGGCGATGGCGACCCTCGCGCTTATTGGGCGCCTGCGCCGCGCGGCGATGCATTCGACGCCGAGGCTGTGGGGGAAATGGTCGAACACGGCTACGCGGAACAGGCCATGTTTGATATGATCCAGCCGCGCTAATTTAATCCGGTTGCCAACCTGGGCGCCAGAGAAAGGGGCAAGAGCAGAGGGAAATTTAAACTGTCATCGCTTGCATTTTTCATCGTCCAAGGGTGATGGCAAGGGAACGCTGACCTTGGAAGAGCGCGAGGTTCGCCTCCAGGAGATCAAGCATCGATCGAAGTGCATGACCCGCAACGAGATTGGCCACTTGTCCGGGGGCTCCAAGTGCAAGGGGCGACGCCAGGCGGCCATGATAGCGCGCGCGCGTGAGCGACCGCTCCAGTGATCAGGGGTCGGCGACGACGATCAGTCCGCGTCCGCGGGATCTGTTGCGACATCCTCCACCGCCCGACATCGTCGCGACATTTGCAGCGCGCCGCCCGTGTAACCCCCTGTTGTTATTCTTTATTCTCGCACGTTGTGCACCGTCGCAGAGCACGCTTGAGCGAGGGAGACAATCGCAAGAGGCAGTTTTGTTTGATGGAGGGACATGCAGAGGAGCGCGCATGCAAGAGTTGCTTCGAGGATGCCCCATTGCCTTGTTCGCAGCTCCCATGGCGAGCGCGTGGCCGCGACTCGGGGCAGCTCCCAGACCTCGTCGGAGGCTGGAGAGGCCGCGCGCGCGTGGCCCTTCGCGCGTCTGCCTCGAGGGCTGCTCTCCGCGCGCTTCGACCGACGCCCCCGAGAACCGTTCGGCCCCCGATAGCTAGTCGATGAGATGCGCATCGGATGCAGAGTTCGAGGCCACGCCCATTCGAGAGTTGATCACTGTTATTAGCCATGACGCGACGTTTTTCACTGGACAGCATCGAGGTCCACGCGCGGCAGAGCGCTCAAATATGCACCAGAATATGTTTCTTGGCCGTGGCGTCAAGAAGCCGAGTGAGGATTTGAAAGTTTTCCTAGCGCGGTCTGAGCATGGCGTCAAATTTGCCAACGGTTGCATCGCGCGTCGCACCGAAGATGGCGCGCGCAATCCCGTCAGTTCTGGTGCTGGCAGCTCGAGGAGCAGGACGGGGCCTCCAGAGTCGCCGTGGCCTCGCCTGTGTGCTCGCGGTCGCGCAAACTTCTCCAGCGCTGGCTCGCTGGCTCGATTCGTCGCTCGCACTTGCAGGGGCTGTGGTCACATGTCCAAGGAGGAGAGATACGAGGCACTACATCAGCCATGCGAGTGCCCTCGCGACCTCGTCGACAACAGGGGTAGGACCACGGAGATCGCCCGCGCGCCTTGTTGCAAATGCTCGACGCGCGTCGACGAAGAGCCTCCTCGAGCTCGCTCAGGAGAAGACGGATGCGGCGAAGAAGGTCGAGCGCGCCACCGACTTCCCGGCCGAGGCGAATGGGGGCATCGCGGAGAGCGACTTTCGCATCCGCGCTGAGGAGCTGGAGGTCGCCACGAAGATGCCCGCGACGCGCCATGTCGATCTGCGAGGACACGGGCGACATCGGCAATGGCGAGTTGGTCGACTTCGTCGCTTCGCGAGTGCGTCTCCGAGAGCCGAGAATGATCTCATCGCGCCGGGGGCGCAGTCACCTGCTACGTCGACCGATTATAGCCGGCGATCTCGAAGCTCAGAATGCTCGATGTCTTCAAAGATGACGGCGCGTGGGCCGCCCTGGAAAAAAAGGGCGCAAGTCGCATTGTCGCGGCGAAGCTCGGGCTGTCGACGCGGCGGATTGGCTCGGGAAGATCTGATGTCACCTTGGGTGGATCAACGGCGCTCGCGGGGCTTGCTCTGGCATCGGCGGTCAGGCTGGCAGCTCCACGACGGGCAAGAAGCGCTTGCCATGCCGCGTCGATGGCAGTCGCGGTGCTGTCTGCGGCACTCTCGAGTTCCATCAGTTGAAAGGTCCGGATCCAGCGCCGCTCCTGCCGTTGCCGGCGCAGCGACCATTCGGGGTCGTTGAGGACCTCGCCGATGGCCGCGCCACTCTGGATCAGGAGGGCGAAGTGGACGCGCGTCGTTGTCATCGCTCTGGGCCCCGTGCCATTCGCCTCGACCAGTATGATCTTAATCGGAATTTTGATATTGCGCGCCCGTTGCATATGTCCGTGAAGGCGCCCCAAATTTCACCCCGGTTGCAGCGCTTGGTCCCAGGGCTGCAGGCGGGGGCGGGGGCGGGGGCAGTGAACCGACGCGGCAGTCGAATCAGGGTCAGAGCGACGGCGAACGTGACGCGCTCTCAGCAATGGGCAAGCGCCGCGCGGATTCCCCCGTCGAGTCGCCATCCGTCGAATCATCGAGGAGCGAAAATTCATCGCTTGCGGTTCTCACCATGGCATAGGACAGCTTCGAGAGCAATCCTGCCCGGGCGGGCGCCAAGCTGCTCGCCTAGCATATTGCTCGTCACTGCCAAGGAATATGCCTCGCCGCGAGCGCGTCTGGGAAGAACGGGCATGCGCTGCGCGTTTCTTCGGTTGCCTCGCGCCCGAAGCTCGGATAATTTGAAAGAGTCATCTTCGCTGGCTCTCGGGCAGTGATCCGCAGGGTACACGGCGCATCGGAGTTCACCCACAGATGCTGATAGGATTTGCAGAGAGCGGCCGTTTCCCAGATATCGCTGGCTATATCGGGGAATCGGTTTCGTGCTGCTTCAGGGATGGGTCGGCTGCGATTGTCTTTGCGTGCCGTTCAGGTCGTCATCGTTCAGAAGCACTTTCTCATGTATTTATGCAGTGCTTGTCGGACGCACACGCTGCGCGCGCCTCGCTCCACCTCCGCGACCACGAGTGGAACGAGAGGACACGTGGTGTGCGCGGCGGCGATTGCTGCCACATGCTTTCTTGGGCTGTCGAGATGGCCGCGGGCGCAGCGAGCCAGCTGGCGCATGTGATCGCAGCTGCTGTCCAGAAACGCAGCGGACCATCTCAGCGCGAGAGCCACGATGCACTCCCAGGTGCCAGGCGCCGTTCCAAGTCAGGGGGATGCGATCAGGCTCGTCGCGAGGAGAAACGCCCCCGCGCCAGTTTAATTGCCCGCGCCCATGGCGAAGTAGGCGATGAGGACGTTGCGAAAATGGTTAGATGATACATTCGCACCATATGGAAGTCGCGTGAGCGCCCATGATATAATGACGGCGATTTCATGGATACCATGGAGCGATAAAAAGGCCGAGAGCCACAGTTGCACTTCCGCATCTGCGGAGATCACGGTCGCACTCCAGTGGGCTACGCGCGCATCGTCAGAGACGCCATGGAGTTCAAGGAGACGCGCGCCACGCCGAAGCCGCCGGGGATATCCCCTGTCCCTGATGGCGATGACGATGGGCCTTCGGCCGCGGCAGGGAGCCGCCGTGCGGCGAGTTGGCCCGACGCCGCGCGGGCGCGGATGATTCCAACTCCGAAGCGCACTGTGGGGAGTGGTCCACCCGCACCTGCCGCGCTGAGTCCGGAGCCGCCGTGAGCATCGCCGCAGGCATCTTCTCGCGATCGGAAGCCTGTAATGCCGCCGCCCGCCCATGCACCGAGGGCAGCTGCGCCCGTGCCGTCCCCCCTGCCGCCGCCCGCCGCCGCGGCTGCTATCTCGGGATCTCTGGGCAGGGGCTTGCGAATGGGCAACGACAGGGGCGGCGATCCAGTCGTGGACTTCGAACCCTTTTCATAATGGAGGTGGGGAGATGGAGACGCTGTTCTTTCGATGCTGGTAGGATGCGGAATTGAATCGCGCATGTTGACCCTGTGACATTCCATGGGCAAGGAGCGGCACCGGCATCTAAGCCTCTGAACAGCCGTAACACGGCACGTGCCAACCTCAAGCTTGCTTTTTATGACGCGAGCATTAAATGTCTTGCGTCGTTGGCCATTTGCGGCAAGAGTGTTATGGGCCGTAAAAAGGAGACGCAGAAGTAGGAACAGCGCGCTCATGGATTCATGGAGCGACGCGCAGGGGCATGACATGATATGTGCATGTACCCAGCCATTTCGTACACATCATGACGGAATTGCTCACTGGTGTACGCCGCTCATGCACGATGAGCACCGCATGGCCACAATGAACGCAAGAAGTGAGCACTAATGTGCTGGGCTGGTCAATATGGTCAAGATTCCATCATCGCGAAGTGTTTGACGGGCGTCAAGATGTCGCTCACGGGCCCCTTCTCCGCGGGCAAGGTGCTGCGATTCATCGCCGGCCGCGCCGCTGCGGGGGCCGCCAGCGCGAACGGCGCGTCGGAGGATGTCGTGATTCGTCCATTCTGGGACGCAGGCGTGGAGACGGAGACCGTCGAGTGCAATCTTGATCTTACCATCGCTCAGATCACTGGCCATGACATCGGCAGCATCCGTAGTTTGTTTTAGGAGTTGTCAAAGAATAGGGGCGCAGTCACCCTTGCACTTGGTCACGAAACTGCTTGCCCAGGCCTGCGCGTTACGCGCGCGTTGAATTCTTACGTGGGGTCAGACCCCGACGCCAGCCCGCCCGAGCTTCTTCGCTTATCGCCCGACACTCCGATTGTCTTCCCATGACCAAGAAATTCTGTCTGAATGTCAAATTGGCATCGATGGTATCGATGTCAAGGAGAACAGTGGAGAAATGTACACCTTCCTGAACATCACCTTCCAGGGAACTACGTTCAAGCGCGTCAGATTTACACGCCAAGGTGTTGGCGCGCCATCATCGAGGACGTGCCTCGCGGCACTCCAGCAACATTGGTGCGCGCGGGGTGGCGGTCCCAAACGAATGGTGTGCATCGGGGGCTACGCAATCGAGGCGTTGTCCTGCAATGGGTTTTAATTGCCAAGGGATCGACCTCCGCGAGGCAGTAGTCGAGTCCCCAGGGCAGATCGGGCGCACTGAGGCACGGTGGTCCATAGAAGAAAGTATGCAAGGAAGTAGTTCACGACGAGAATACCATCGGACACGATGAGGCAATGGAAGGAGCCGCAGAAGCCGACAGCACAGAGAAGGATATGTCTCGAGCAGCAGGACTCTCACCATCTCAATCGGTTCTCGGACGACTGCCCCGTGTGCCGGGGAGTCAGTGCGACGACAATGAAACTTTTGCTTTCGGTGTGGTGGCTAACGCGGCTGAAGACAGGCGGGAATTCTCGCGTCGAGCAGCGATCCGCGCTGCAGCGCGCGAGGCAATTGCCGGGCCCGGCGCCGGGGGTCGGACAGCGCGCGCTGCGTTCCGAAAGGCCAGACTTTTAGCAGGTGGGTGCCAGGTTGGTGATGTGGCATGTTTTCGCAAGGGACCCACTGAAGGCGAAGTCGCAGCCAAGTGGGGCGCAGGCTCTCGAATCGTCGGGCTCGATGGCAAAAGTGCGTGGGTCATCACCGAGGGGGCCCCAGTTTGCGTCGCAATCGACAGGCTCCGTCCATGTACTGCGTCTGAAGCCCTTGCGTAACGATGCTTTTTTCGACGCCGCCATGGCGACCTGGGTCGTTTCGCCCCTCCGGACAATCAGCAGCAATCGTTCGTAGACGAAGGCCGAGACATACCGGAGGTCAATGTGCGTGAAGGTCAGCAAGAAGACGCGCCACTTGCCATCGATTTGTAAGCAGCAGTGGAGGAGGATCAATCCGCCGTCCAGAGAGATGATATGAGTTACGAGACTGAAGGTGATGCAATCATTCCCCAAGACGAGCGAGCATCGCGGCCACCACAAGTGATCCGCACGCCATTGCAGAGATCTCTGCCAGATGATGTGCCTCACGGAGTACGTGGTCGTAGTGAGGTGATGCGTAGGAGACTCGCGGTAGGTGGATCAGCATCACCGGCTGGAAGGGCACAAGGAGATGCGTCGTCGGGCTCGGCACCGGGACCACGACCCGAGCCAGTGAGTCCGCTGCTGGAGGCATGGCATAGGACTGGTATTACAGGCGCAGGTGTGGGACTACGGCAGGAAAGGACAGCATCCATAGTTGTCAAGCCACGCGAATCACATACAGGATTCTTCAATGAGCGCACCGCCAATGACACCCAGTCACTGAAGAAATTGAAGAGTGACAAAAAATGAGTATATCATCGGGAACCAGAAGACGTCCATGGGCCACGACTCGCGAGACAAGATGACTGGGGAAAGTTCCGAAAACTTAGGCGCTGCAGAATCCGTATAATTTAAAAAGCTACAGCAACTCCCGGGCGAAGGATATCGCGCGGTCCCGACAATGGATTCGCATTGATGAGAACGAGCATCTTTGGGGGGCAGGAGGGCCACCGGTTGTGCCCCAATGCGCAAGCGGATTCGTCGCGCGAGGATATTTTGGGGAGTCGCTTGGTATTTGCGCGGGTCCACCGACATGTGAATTTTGAGGTTCATGGCTGATAATATGCTGGGCTGCTGGAGCGAACGGGTTTCTGAATTGTGCCGACATTTCTCGTGCATGTTTCCACGGGCAAGTCTTCGACCTTTCCTTGTTGCTCAAGCCGCCGCCAGACGGATTAGCAGGGGCCCCGGAGGGCGGAGCCCTTGTCGCTCGTATGCCCGTTTACGGAACCAGCGGCGCTGGCGGGGGCTCTTGGGGGGGGGTGGGGGGGTCGTCAACGTTTCAAGGCGCATGGGTTGAGAGAGCCGCGACGTGCCAGCTCGCTTCAGCATCGCGAGCGACGAAGGTGAAACCACGCGCATGTCAGGCAGCCATGTAAATCATATCTTCTGGGCCGCGGACAACGAGAGCAACCGTATTATTGATGTCGTATTGGCGGAGTTTGACATTGGAGAAGTTAATTTAGGAGATGCCAGGCATTGCGCATTGGAAGTTGACCCAGGTGCGGATGATATTGTTCGTGCCAGCGCGAAGGATAGCATTGCAGAAAATGACGCAGTATCGTATCCCATGGAAAGCCCCCCTTACCATGATAGTCGACTACAGATTGTAGTGAACCACGCAAAGGTGCTCCATCTCAGAGAAGCGGATCCCATTCTGGAATCAGGGGTTGCAGTCTTAAGGTAGCGGGGTTGCGTTCATGGGGGGGGGGGGGGGGGGGGGGGGGGCAGTCAAATGGGGCGGGGATTTGAAAGTTATCGCAGTTACCGACGCCAGCTGGGCAGGAGGGGTCGACGGTGTCAAGGGTCAGTTTGAGCCATTCAGATCCCAGAGGGCCATGTTCAACGTTCTTGCTGGGCCCGGGTTTATCGAGGGGAACAGTGATCATGTTAATTTTGGATGTCCGTCGAGTAACGTCATCAGGCGCGCGCGTAGATCTACCCTCCAGGCGGAGACTTTGTTTTGTTCCTGGGGCGCAGAACCGGGTGCTCGCATCCGCGTTCATCGCTGACGCTCGTGTCATGCTCGGTATCAGGCGCACCCTTCCTTTTTATTGGGAAGAGATTTCCGCCGTGGCGATGGGGCATCTGTGGAGGAGGGCTTGCAGAAGCTTAGAAGAGCATTTGAAAGCGCCAACGATGGGACAAGTGGCAGACAAACGCTCGGGCATTCATCTTGGCAGTTTGCGCCGAGATGGGCCGCGGGCGAGAAGGAGTTGAGACCTTGCATCTCAGACTTTGCTGCGACAGGATACGATGGGTCGACGCCTGCGCTATGGCAGTATATTGTCTCGCAAAGGATATGCCCAGTGATTACTTCGCATGCGTTTTTCGCGTTGGACATTATGATGTAACACCGGGCCATGGCGGCCCGCGAGTCTGCGGGCGCGAGGTGCCGGGCTATGTGGTCAGCTCGCGGCCAAATTTCACTGGGTGATATAGCGCGCGCGCGGCGCGCGCGCCACTTCGCTGCTGCCTGACCCTCAAGGGGCCCCTTCTGCCAAGGCACAAGAATCATAATAAATCATGCGGTGAGTTCGCGCCCTCGAGGAGGGCGCGGACAGCCCCCCCCCCCCCCCGCGAAGGCGGAACTCCATGGCGGAACCGAAAATTCCCGCGAAGGGTGATGCCATGGCGAAGGCGAACGCGCCGGGGTCGACCGTCAACGAGACGACGGCGACGGGGGGGCCGACATCCGCGCGGACGCCCACTTCCCGCGCGTGCAGGTGCAGCTCGGGCGAGCCAGCGCTTCGGACAGCATGGCCCACGCGGGGCGCAGACTTCTCGGCTCGACTGAATCCGCCGCGGAAGCCGGCCCCCTTTGCGCGGAAGGGGGGGGGGGGGGCGCAATTCGCGCGTTTATCGCCCTCGACGGGGGAAGCTTCGGACTCGCGACGCCGCCCGCCAGCTCCGGGAGAAAAACGCTGGCCTTTGCCCCCAATGGGGGGTTTCAGAGGGCGTGGTCCTCATCTCTGGCGGCTTTGAACGCTCGATGCGCAGCTTTTGATTGGCGCGCGGCTCCAGGCGCGATTTGAAGTGGATGGGCTTTGCGCGCCGCGCGTGTCGGGCGCGCCGCCGCGTTGGGGCGGGCCCCCAGGGACCGCGAGAGCGCGCCGTCGCGCCGCTCTGCGCTAGTCTGTCGTCGGAGTGGCCGGCGCGTCCAGCGACCGTTTCGACGGCATGTCCAGTTGGAGGGATTCGAGCTAGCGCGCGGAGACGCACGGGATTGGCAGGGCGAGCGGGAGGATTGGATGGGTCGCGGGGGTCGCGGCACGCTGGGCCTGGCGCTCGCCGTGGAGTGCGAGGCTTTCCCGCGCAACTTTTCGTTCCGATGTTTCTCTCCGGGACGAGTCGAAATTATTGTTTGATTGCTGGGCGGGCGCATGCTCAGGTCAGGCGTTTGTTGGTTCGCCTTGCGGAATGCTGTTTTTGTTGCTGTGGTTGTGCCGTTTTTTTTTTTTTTTTTTTTTTGTTTTTTTTTTTGGGGGGGGGGGGGCAAGTTTGACATGTTGTTTGGATATCTTATTTCGTTTGGGCCGCTTCGGATATCGTTTCGACCATTGTGGGGTTGTGTTCTGGTGGATCGGGAAACTCGGTTTGGCCATTTGGGAGGATTTGTTTGGTCGACTTTGGAGCTTGCTGGGGCCGCTTCGGAATGCCGACTGGACATTTCGCTTGTGGCCGTCAGTGGTTTCGGCGCCGCCTTGTCGGGTGGCCCATGGATTCGCTTCATTAGCACAGACGCGCTGTGCGCCTAGCTGTGCGCGCGCATGTGCAGTTGAATCGACCGACGCTGCGCAGTCGTTAGGCGCGCGATTGGGCGGACAGCTTTCCGTCATGGGTAGCACGCCCATGGGGCTTGGAGATCGCCGTCGACAAGAAGGGCCCGATGGTGTTCAGCCTGGGCCCTCGCAAGCGGCCCCGGGGCGTCTCGGAGCGGCAGAAGGATGCGCGGGCACCGCTACAAGTTCCGCTGCGGGGCGAATTGAGCCCGCGGGGTCGGCGGCGCTTGCTGAACTGGGCGCTCGCGGGAAAGACGCTCGCGGATGGTGGCGCGGGCGTTCGCGGGCACGCGAGAGTTTTGCGTT